ACTGTCGGATATCAGTGCAAAGTTAGAAAGCATGTTGGAAAGCATAGCGAAGCTAGCAATCAAACCATGTGCACGCAAGGCCAGGGGGGCAGAAGTCCATTACAGTGCTCCTACTCCCATAAACCAGGGCATGCAGTGGACAACTGCTTTATGCGTCAGTGCATTGAAGGCAAGAAACCTGAAGTTACGGCCTCGGGAAAGCAGCCCTCCAGTGAGCCTTTGGGAAATGGCCAGCTTCTTTCACAGAGGGCAGTGTGACGGGAGGGTACTAGATCTTTTGTAGTGCGCAAGGTTCTTGTTAATGATAATGACCAAGCGCATCTTATTTGTGACAAGGCAACAGATGACCCTGTGTTGGCTGACAGGAAGTTGTCATCATCTGAGGTTTGCCGCAGACTTCTGGCCAGAACTCAAACGGCTTCAGTTATTATTAATGGCATTCTTAATAAATGTTTGCTGGATACTGGAGCAGCTAGACCTTTTTGATGTCTGCCAGGTTTTATAATGCACACACTGCAAGTGGTTTTGGGTAGTTGGAACCGGTGGGTACGTTCATTAAATTAATGCGCACAAACAATTTGGAGATTCCTGTTCAAGGTTATCTTGAGACCACCCTGGAAGCGTTTGGCCAGAAGTTTAAGGGTAGCTTTCTTGTGTCAAAGGAGACTGAAGCCTCTTGTAATGCTCCCTAAAATAAATGTCCTGTAATCCTTGGATGCAACCTTTTTGCGGCGAGTGGCATCTCGAGTGAAGGTTATGGGGTCAACGCAGCTTGACCCTGACTGGGAATTAGCACTTTGTTGGATACGAACCATATCTGATGCTGAAGGCAGTGGTTCGGATGTTTCTACTTCATTGGCTCTAGATGTGTTCTCTTGTGACCAAGAGGTTATTCATGCAAGCACAGTTCAATGTGTTCAGTGCAAGTTAGATGTAAGCACTTCTTTACCAGATGACAAAGATTTTCTGATAAGGGCGTCCCCCTTATGTTTGACGAGCCATGGTGGCCTCAAGGAAGTCTGGTCATCTGATGTTTCTGATCCTTCTGTGTTTTGTGTCAGGTACTTGATGGTATCGATCATTTTGATGGTGCGTCAATTGATGTTTTTGTGGCTCACACCAGTATGGAGCCTATTGTTATTCCTCCGTTTACAAAGTTGGTGGTTGCAGTGCAGGTTGTGCCTACTGAGCACATTTTCATGGGGCCAGTAGATGGTGGTTTTAGTGTTTCTATGACCTGTATATTTTTGAAGGATCAAATTGTTCAAGTGTTGAGTCTGACTGTTCTGAGCACAAAAAGGCTAGCCTGATATCATCAGTTCACCCAGAAGAAGGTGATACCTAGTCTCGTGAGTGTTTCGCTTGGTGTTACTTGAGTCACCTCTGTTCTGAGGAAGCTCTTCTTGCAGCTGAGTTGGTAAGGAAGCACATTGGTACTTTTTCATGCCACCCATTTGATTTGGGTCGGTGTGATCTGATCCCTTATCAGATAAAGCTTGATGATAATAAACCAGTCAATTTGCCACATCACAGGATTATACCTAGTCTTGTTGAGGAGGTGAAACAGCTTCTTCAAGATCTTTTTGACTGACAGATTATCACTTGGTCTACTGGCCTGTACAATAGCCCAATTGTCCTTGTTCGAAAGAAGAGTGGACAATTGAGGCTATGGATTGATTATAGGCTACTGAACGCTGAGACAAAGGATGCATTTCCTTTACCCCGGATTAAAGAGATGCTACAGTCTCTGGTGGGGGCAAAGCTCTTTTCATCTCTAGACATGGTGCATGGCTACTTCCAAGTAGCCATGCATGAGGATTCCATCGGGAAGACTGCATTCCAGGTTCCATGGGGCATATGCGAATTTTTGTGGCTTCCTCAGTGCTTGAGCAATGCGCCTAGCATTTTTCTGCTCATAGTAGAGCTGATCTTTTGTGACCTTAATCTTTCCAAGTTAGTCATGTACCTTGATGACTTCTTAGTCTTTTTGAACACATTTGAGGAATACCTTGCCCGCCTGGCCAAGGTCTTTGAGTGCTTCGAGCATTATGGTCTAAAATTAAATGGAAAGAAGGGCCAGCTTTTTCAGGTTTCTGTTAGGCATCTTGGGCACATTGTCAGCAAATAGGGAGTATCTGTTGATCCCGACAAAACTGCTTGTATTAGAGATTGGCCTACTCCAACAGCAGTCCGGCAGTTGAGATCATTTCTCAGCTTGTCCTCTTACTATGGGCAGTTTGTCTCTGGATTCTCTAAGGTGGCTGAGAGGAAAAAGCAGGGAATGGGCATCAGGTCTTCTGTTGGTCTGACGAGGCTGACAAAGCTTTCATGATCCAGAAGGAGGTTCTATTTCATTTCATTTATTATTTCGCAGGTAAAGTTTACAATGGATAAAACAAAATAAGCAAAAAAAAAATTACACACAGTATAGACATAAAGAAGACAAAGTTAAAATATAACATCAAATCTTATAAAAACACTGATACCCAAACACCAAAACAGTTGCATGCCCCTGCGGGATTACTAAAAAAGAACTAAATCACTATCAAGTAGTTCTCCCAAAGCATGACTAAAAACCCTAAATTGCAAAATCACAACATTTTAGCAGACTCACTTTAAAACACGAAATCCCAAGGGTGAAGAGATTAACCCTACAAGGTATTACAAAATCCTTGACTTTATGTGATAATTCTATGTAATGCACCATATTAACAAGAAAAGTAAGGAATACACCCAGATGGTAACTAAAAATCTAAAAACAAACTCCAAAGAGACAGTCGACAAGAAACAAAAATGTAAGACAAAGGGAAGGACAACAAACAAACAAACAAATGGTCCGCCCACCCCCACCAGACAGAAGACAAACAACCCAACAAACAAACGTACAGATGAAGAAACGACCCAGAAAACAAGCAACGACTGCACAAACATACAAACACAAACCCCAAGTAAAATAAACAAGCAGTTTATTGAGAAAAAAAAAGAACCCGAAAAACATGAGATTAAAAAACAAAAACAGAAAACAGGGTCTGTATAAGGGCGCAAGATGGCATGTAGTTCACAACAGGAGTCAGCCAGTGTAGCCTCAGTTTGGCAATGAAAGTGTTAAGACCCAAGATCAGGCTATCTACAACGTCTGCGGGCAGAGTATCCCACAAAAAGTGACTCATGAAAAGCTATAGTTCTAGAATAATGATGAATACATTTAACATCACCAATGTGTCTAGAATTCAGACTGATATATCTCTCTGATTCAATGTCGAATTTGTTATAGATACATTTGGCTACAAAGATGACTACCAAAAAGTTAAGGGTATTCGTTAAGTAGGACAGACCCAGCTTGGAACAACGGGTCAAGTGCTCTATATTATCCCTGCTGGAATTTGGCAAATGATGTCTTGGGAGGCCCAAATAGGAACGAGTAAATCGCCCGTGAACTCCTTCCAGTAATGGTTATTATGAAGGAGAACTTGAGTACCAAACTGGGGCAGCATACTTGAGAACAGGTCTGATAAGAGAGCAGTAAAGTGTGACAAAAATATAAGGGTCTTTGGAGTTACCAGTCTTCTAGTAAAACCAGACGTCTTAGTAGCTTTTGAGACAACTGAATTGCATGATGACTCCAAGAAAGATCTCTGGAGATAACCAACCCAAAATATTTATACTGATCAACAAAATTTAAGTTACGAGAATCAATCTGATATATGGGTCTATGAGGGATTCTGAAGCGAGTAATAGACATCAGTTTACATTTGTTGGTTTTAAGCTTCATATGATGAAGATTACACCAGGTAACTATACTGCAAAGATCATTTTGTAATATGAGCTCATCATGCTTGCTAAAGATGGTCCTATAAATCACAGTGTCATCCGCATACTGTCTTAAACTTGACTTTACACAAAAAAGGTAAATCAAAGGCAAATATATTGAAGAGGGAACTGAAACCCAATCAGAGTATGACCCACAAAACTACACTCGTTGCTGACGTCTCTGTAGGTAAGACTGGAACCACTGCAAACAGAACCACACATGCCATATTTGTGCAACTTTATTAGGAGGACACTGTGACTTACACGATCAAAGGCCTTTGACCAGTCCAAGTACATGACATCGATTCTGGGTGGATTAAGGGTATCTAATGTTTTAGCCCAATCATGATAAACAGTCGTCAATTGAGTAATACAGGATCTTTTTGGAAGAAAACCATGCTGGCGGTCGGATATAATACCACCTCTGTACATGTGATCAGTGAGATGTTTGGCAACAATTTTTTCAACACAATTACTCACTACGGAACAAAGAGAGATTGGTCTATAATTAGACAGGTTGTGGGGAGACCCACTTTTATGCATAGGAACAACATTGGTGAATTTCCATTCGGATGGTATCTTGCCCATAGCAAGAGAAGAGTTAAATATCTTGGTCAACGGATAACCTAAACTTTTGGCAGCCAATTTAAGGAGCTTAGGCAAAATGTTGTCAATCCCAGGTGATTTGTGAACTTGAAGGTTATCTAAAAGTTTCTTGACTTCAAGTGGATAAGTCTGAATTGAAGTCAACCTAAACTGATTACAGGTATGGCTACGCTGAATAGGAACAAAAGAATTACTGTCAGTATAAAAATTCAGTAGAAAGCTACGATTAAATTCGTTAGCAATGGTCACAGAATCAGTTATAGTTTTCCCCTCAACGTGTAGACGTTTTTTTTATGGTTTGAGCTCACAAACGACCAGAAACGCTTAGGATTAGTTTTACAGTTGTCGGCCAAATCCTTTAAATAATGACTGTAGGATTTCCTGATGGCATATTTAACCTTGTTACATAGGTTACATAGGTTTTTATACTTAAGCCAGAGATGGGCATTATTTCTATTTCTCACAGCCGCTTTGTAAGCCCTATGTTTTTTTCCAGTAAGGGCAACTACTTCACCAGTGATCCAAGGCCGCCTTCTTTTATTTTTTCGCCTGGCCAATGGAACAACATCATGGACAGCTGTAAAGAGTAAATCTTTAAAGTTATCCCAGATTTGGTCAATACCCAAGTCAGGAGATACATGTAAATATGTGTCCCAATGCACCCGAGCAAGCGTGTCACACAGGACAGTTTGGTCAGCTTTATCGTACTGACAAAAAGTATGGTTCAAAGATTTACTGTCAAAGGTGGTAGAACAATCAAATAAGACTCCACTGTGATCACTAAGGCACTGCAGAAACATGACTGACGATATCAGGTCTATTAGTAAAAATCAGGTCAAGGGTAGAGACCTTCGTGTTGTCAAAAGAACTCCTACGAGTAACCAGGTTAACCATTTGATGAAAATTTAAAATATTGGAAGCAAGCTGGAGCCAATCTATTAACCCAGCTGTACAGATTACAGAGGGGCCAAAATTGATATAAAGGTCACCAACCACGAAAATGGCAGAATACTTATGGCACCGGTAAAATACTGATTCGAGGACATTTTGATAGTCAACAAAGAATTGAGCTGAAGAATTGGGAGGTCTGTGTTACAGTGCAACCAGAGCATGAATTGAACATTGTGTTTTCCGATTATGTTTTTACCGTGTTCCGTTGATTGTTTTTATTCTGAGTATATCTCAATCCAACCCGAAGGTAATGGAATCGTCCAAAAGTTTTAGCCAATGAATTGTTCATCATTCCCGCGTAGACGTAACTCTGCCATCCAGAGAAGGCTTTCGCAAAGTGGGAAAACGCCTTCCCGTCTTAAGCAACGGTTTTTGTTCAGGCCGTGGTAACTGTCAGAACACCAATCATATTATTGTGAATCAAATCATGCCAGTTGATGAAGAATAGGTCGCATTGTACAATCGGACACAATTAGAATCTTTGGGTGCATGTTGGAGTTTTTTTATGTGAGAGAGAGATAGAGAGTCAGAAGTCATTTTTTAGTCGCTCGAGAAAGAATGCGGTTTGGAGAGTGACTGTGTGATGTAAGACCGGTTTTGACTCCCTAGCATCAGAAATCTGAGCCAGCAGATTTAGCTTTGTTGTGGATCTGTTTTGACCACTTCGGAAAAGGACGGAAAAATCTGTTTCCGTGAGAATTAGGCAAACTAGGGCGTAATTCCAGCCACATAGACGTCCCAATCGGAATAAGCACTTCATGGCAACAGTTCACGTCCAAGACAGTTGTTCAGGAAATTACCGTTAAGTGTTGTAATATTGATGATTTTCTTGCTTTTATACATCGAAGGAAAAGCCTTCAGATGATAAAGTTTCATCATAATTGTAGTAATAAGACTATTAAGCTGATCCTGGAGATCGAGGCTGATGATTTTTGAGAAGACTGGAAATTTACATTTATGAAAATAAGGATAATGATATAAGATTTGTGGTAATTTGGAATTGTGGAGATAAAGGTTGGCAAGGAAACAAATTGGAGCATGATTACGCTATTTCTTTAAAACTGTTAAGGTTTTGGGTTTACATTTATTGTAGATGGCCTTATGTTGAGACTGGTCCCACTGACTCTACCGATGACTGAGAAGAGTCCCTTGTGTATTGCTAAGGAGCATAGACTCTGAACTTGCTCTGCTTGACCGAGCTTTGGGCTGATCTACTGCAGTTTTGTTAGACACCAAATTCAGGGGTCTACAGAAACTTCAACAGATGGTGGACCTATCAGTTTTGCTATTTCAAAAATTTAAAGTGGATATCTGATGGCACCTTTCTTTTTATAATTGATGTGATGATCCCAGAGTCACTTGATTGACTAATTGAGTATAATTGAGCTTTTATGACTTAATCACAAACCTGTAAATAATTAAATAATTCTGTAAGAAGTTAACTTTCTAATACCATGCCGAGCTCATTTTGTAAATATTGGAATACAGAATATTGGAATTCAAGAAGACCGTTTGATCTTGTTATTTATTTTGATTGTCGGTGCATCCTGTAGGATCCGGGTTGCCAATCCTAATTGTGAATAGCCAAATGTCAGAGTGGTGACAGTCTGTACGGTCAACCAAAAAGAATTTTACCATAATTAGTAGTTATTTCTAACCACAATAGTTCAAGGTCTACATGTTCAAGGGCCACAACGTGTACTGGGTGGAGATGCTTGGCAGCAGCTATAAGAATAAGTCTGTTCTGATCTCTTCTAAAGATACAGAATTTAGAGTTTGGGAGAAGCTCTCCATCATAAAGAGTACTGTCCAGCCAAGTCTCAGTGACGAACGCCAAGTCCAAGTTATGTAACTTCAGTTCCGATTGGAATTGAAGGCGTTATACTCCAGGCGTTATACAGGATACACTTGATTCTTGGCTCTTCCTGACTGGTTTCTCACATTGGGTGTTGGGAAATTTGGCAGGGCCAGGGTTAGCCTCAATGTCGCCTGACAAGGCAACAGGTAGGTGAGTCAGATGGAAACTTGCTGTACAGTTGCTGTAGTAAGCAATAGGGACTCTACAATACCTGGCTTTATGAGTGGTCGCGTAGTGTAGGGCCCGGTTCCTAGTCCAGGGGAACAGGTTCCAACAGACAGATGTGTGCCAGGGAAGATGTGATCTGCCCAGAGAGTTTGTGTAGATGACAGTCCATGGTAGTAACCGTCAAAGATCCCAGACTGAATAGTGAGAGCGAGGGACGATATTGAAATTGTATAGAGCAAGATGTTGTGAAACTGAAAGTCATCGCTGCTGCACGTCCCACTGAACATGTACGTGATAGGTAGATGGCCATTTTGAACATAGCCACACAAGTTCAAATCATCAAGAAGAAATCCGTCGCCATCCTAAAGATAACATTTGCTGAGGAGATCAGAGTCCGATAAATCTGAAGATGATTATACTGAGAACACACTGATGGCAAAGGACAAGCAAAAAACCATTGCAGAGTAGATAAAAAGTAGATTAGAAATGGAGAGAAATAAAAACACAACCGCCCATGTTGAATAGCGCCCTCTATGTACTGCACCAGTGTTGGGGTCTCCAGATTTCAGCCGAGACTTTGTCTTAGTAGTTGATGCCTCACTCACAGGTTGGGCACTTGTCTTTCCTAACCAGGTGAGTTAGGGAAGCTACATCCAGTGGCTTTTGCTAGCCGAGGCCTTCGAAGTGCTGACAAGGGGTACTTGAATCTTTCCAGCTTTAAGTTGAAATTCTTAGCTCTTACATGGGCTGTTTCTGGAAAATTCAGAGATTATCTGCTAGGACGTGGCACAGTGGTATGCACTGATAACAATCCTCTCGCACATCTTCCAACGGCAAAGCTCGGTGCTGTTGAGCAGTGATGGGTGGCTCAGTCTGCCCCTTTTGATCTCGATATTCAGTCCAGGTCAGGGAAGTCTAATAAGTGTGCTGACGCCCTCTATCCCGGTACTAAGCAAGAGGGTGAAGCTGTTGTTCAATCTGTCCCAAACTCTGAGAGAGGAGCCTCCAACCGTTTCACAAATTAGAAATATCGGCTCAACTCAATGTACCCTTGTTACATTTTTGTACCCTCTTAGTCACATTTAAGTAACTTTGTGCTACAGCCTCAGTGGCCTCTGTTAAGAACATTTTTTTTAGGAATCTTGTATCCCTGAGCCGTCAATGAAATTAGGAATCATTCCTTTTTTCCAACTTAATTCCCTTGAAAACATACCTGTTCTTGTGAAAAGATTATTTATGCAGTATACATGGACCTTAATTTGGGTGTCGCTTATTCCGAGTTAAATTACCTTGGAGTAGTAGGGTTTTATATTGGTGGGTTTCAGGTTTTCATTGAGAGCAAAATTCAAATCGCCAACCACCACATGGTTTGAGAGAGGTATTTACCTCGAAGAATTGTTAACATTTCTGTAAATTTTGTGATTCCTGTGAAAGTTTTGACATTTGTAAATGTTAACTAGTTTGTTTTCAAAAGTGTTTAATATAAACAGTTATAGTTTTACCGTGCCCATCAAACATGTTAGCGTATGGATGCATGGGGGTTTTGATGATTGATATGTAAATGTTAAGGAGGTTAATAAATTTTACTAATTGGAACCTCTTGAGGGCAAGGGTTCCTAAGCAGGGAACTTGTAGGGACCTCATGAATATGGATAAGTAGTCTCTGGGACTCAGTCCACTGTACTGAAGTCTTGACCTGACCATGCCAATGGACAAGGGAGGGTTTGTGGCTTGAGTAAACGATTTTCCAGCGTTCCGGGAGACAATTTGGCAACTGGGCAGTCTTGATCATCATGCATCATGTCAAGTAATTATTCCAGAGATTGTTGGCGAGGTGCTGGGATTTTGTTACAGCTGGGATTTTGTTACACCTTGGATTTTGTTCGACCTGGGAGATTTAGGATTAGCTGGAAATCAATAAGAAATGGAAAATTTTGAGAATTGCTTATTATTTTGACCTTCAATTTACTCAATAGGTTGAGTAGAATTTTTTTTCTTTATGGCAGAAATGAAGGATGAAAAGCAGTTAAAGATTTGTGTTTTGGCAGAGTGAATGACAGTAATCATGGTGCACATCTCAAAGACTTAAACACGAAACATCCGCAAAGAAACGCCTGCAGTCGGCCCACAGCCACAGATCCATACGTCTGTGCGCCAATGGAGAGTGGTCGATGCATGCAGAACTATTAGAAACATGCATGAATTTGAACACCGATTTCCATCTGGGCTGATGCCATTGCTGATCTTGCCAGCTTCTCTTTCTTATGAATGGTTTAAGTTTAGTTGGCAAACCCTGGAAATGTTTGACTTTAAATAACTTCGGATTGCTGATTTTATGTCAAGGTTTGTGGGATTTGGGAAATTGTTCAAAAGCTAGCATCATGGGAATTTTCAAAGCTTCAACTGTTACTTCCATTTCAAGTATTTCATGGTAAAGGGAGAATTAATATCAGGCAAAGGGCTGCATTGTTTAGGTTTTTTCTTTCAGTTCCGTTTGTAATATGTGACAAAGTACATGTAGGCCTACTTTTCCACCACAGTTTGCTTCGATCTTAAAGATTAAAATGCGACATTGGTCCAGCAGAAGAATTTTTTTGGGAAGTAATAAACACTCCAAGGAATGAGTTTCTAATTGGTGTTGATCCTTCAGATGTTACAATTGAGTTTCCAATAAGAAATAGAGGGTAATCAGCGACAAGAAATTTCATTGCAAGGAATTTGGCGTGTGGGAAAAACTCCTATGTACGTGTAGTTTTCATCACTCACAATGTAGCACCCAAATGCTCATCATGTTTGGGAGTCACAATTGGCATGCAGCCAACAGTGGGCCATCAGCGTACTGCAGACAAATGGGTCAGGGTACAGCACGGTGCCGCTGCGATTCTGCAAAGCATGTAGGCCACATCTTGTCACAGACTTCAGTTTTGGCAACGAAAATAAAGCCGCACAGTTTAGGTTCCTTCATTTGGCTTTAATTAAACCACATGTTTTTTCAAAAATCGACGGATCATTTTATATAGCTCTTTCGGAATCGCTGGACTGTTCCTGTGGATCTGGCCGGACACTGGACAGTCATAGCCATTGCGGGTCAGGCCCCTGTTGCCATATCTGATGCAGAATTTCTGGCAGGGCAGGAGTGGGTAGATGCCGCTGACCGCTTGGCCACAGAGACTTGAAGACTGACTACGGTGAGCAGGATGGGCGTGGTATTTTGGCCAGAGCAGTGTTGCGAGACCACCCTGTCTGGTCAATGGTCGACGGAGTGATGAATGGGCCTGTGGATGATGTGGGTAGAACCTGCTGATTTCCTGGCCACAAAGGCTCGGTGAATGGGCATAGTGAGCCAGCCTGGGGTGGTAGGTTTGCCCAAGAAAATGCTGTGAGACCACCTGGCATAGGCAACGGTCACGGTATGGTGACCGAGGTCACTGTAGCTCCGTTGCACCACGGTAAGTACTGAATTGAGACTCACTACGCTTCAGCAGGCCTGTTGAGGAGCATGAATGGGCCAGTATTAATTCAAGCTTAGAGCGGGACCATGCACTGCCAGTAAGGGCAGTTAGGAACTAGGGGACTACGCTTACTACGGAGCCCGCCATGCCAGACTGGATCGTGAAGAATAGGGACCATTGGGTTGTGCCTCTTGGCCATGTTGCCGGTGACCCTGCCCATGCCAGCTGGGGAGAGTGTGAACCGGGCTACTCACTTCAGCCTGATGTCCACACTCTGGAAAATCTAGGAGCTACAATGGAGACAGATGTAAATTTGGGTATCACTAGGTCAACCCCCTCCCACCGACGGTAACAAAAGGGGAATAGTAAGCCGACACACTAGCCTATTCCCAGCATTTGTTAGGAACTCAAACTGCCACACCAGTGGTCTTACAAACACTAGCAAACCCTTGCTCGTGCGATGACGTGGACCAGCCCCTAACCAGAGACCTGACCCCCACACCACAATTGCAACTAAGAGGGGGGTGGGTATTCCAAAATGAGTCTCCCTTTCTGTGAATGCATCACATAATATAATGCACACATAGGAGATACAAAAGAAAAAGACCTACACATGCACAACAATACTAAATGCGATGAAACGTGACAAGAAAGAAAATTTTTATCACAACCTTTATTCCATCATAAATATGAGACACAAAAAAGAACACACCTATATATGCAGTACGATAGCCAATGCACAGAGGTGACATGGAAGAAACAGTCTAATCACAAAGCTTTATTACGGTCACAAAATGGAGACAATACACACCTACACACAACAACGAAAGGCGGTTAAAAGGTGTCAAAAATGGAACAGTCTAACCACAAGCTGTATAACAATAAAGAATAGTTCATTAGGAAGTAGTAGTTGATCGAGAAATGACACAACGTAGTGTAGTGAAAAAAAAATCTTCAAAACTTGGAGTTCGCCAAAACACATCCATTTGTTATGGTGCTAAAAAAAGAACATGGTGGCTGTTCCACTAGGTATTGTGGGAAATTAGGGCACACAGCCAGATGATACAGAATTTAGCAAATGGCTTAAGAGGAGGAAATTTCAATCTTTACAAGAATTTGTATAGTGTTTTTTAATGACGACCCAACGGGCACGCTAAGTGACCTCTAATAATGTCATCCTGACATCATCGTTCTAGAATCCTGGACAAATCTCGTTGGAACATGCCTCCCCCTCGCCCCCGTCAACATTGTTTCTCATTGGGTAAGATGGGCTTCATCTTGGTCAAATATATGACCCTAACATTGAATGGGGGAGAGGGGGATCTTTTCACCGCGCTTCCCAAAAGGTGTTCCAACTATTTTGTCCAGGATTGTCTAAATTTCTCAGTGGAAAGTGGGTGTCATGGGTGTGAGTCTTTGTCATCCAGGAGGGCGGGGGGGTTGCCGCGTTGCTGTTTTGGGCGCTGCTGTGTGATGCTGTAAGCATTAGATGGTTATGGAATGGAATAAATACATGTAATGACTGTTATAGGCAAGGTGTGGTAGTATGCCCTGTTAAGAGCAAAATAACCTCCCCCCCAAAAAAAGGAAGTACATGGAAATACATAGTTATTTAACATTTAGTAATACAACAACTATGAGCAATGATCATCCATTGGTACAGGATTTTTTTCAGTGGAAGGGTTCACAGTAAATTTGCGAGGATGTGATTGCTGCTCACAGGTATCAGCAACAAGAGTTAGGTTGGCCATCGAAAATAGGATAAGTTCGGCGCATCGTAAATGGTGCATCATACAAATTCAGCACACATCTCTCTCAAATGAAGTTTTTTATTCACTCTGAAGGGCTATATAGTTATATGAGTAAAAAATTCTGTCTGATCTCTTTTCACTTTCTGGTTGGGTTTCAGATGAAACATTGCAACGGTGGACCATGAAAAAAAAAAAAAGATGAGGATGTGAGTGACTCTCCTTTTTTAAGGTTGCATGAATATAATATGAAGGTACAGTTGCAGTTATCGCGCTAGCAGCATTTTTTAAGAGCGGGATGTACGCACTCCGTTTTAGGATTTGACAGACTTTTTATAGAGACAATCCTGGACAAATCTCCTTGCAATATGCCTCCCCCTCACCCCCTGTCAATGTTGTTTCTCATTGGGTAAGATGGGCTTAATCCTGGTCCAATAAATGACTGCAACATTAAATGGGGGATCTTTTCACCGTGCTTCCCACAAGGTGTTCCAGTTATTTTGTCAAGGACTGTAGAAGAATTCGGGGAAAAAAATATCTTGATTTGTTCAGGAAAGATGTCGACAGTAGTTCCTCCTATCTACAGCTGATGCTTCAAAATTTGTGGATCATACCCATTATAGTCCACACTACATATGTAAGGTTAGCGAATCCCATCCACACACACTCAGAAAAGATAAGAGTGTTTGAAGCATGGCTAACAATGGGAGGGTACTATTTGAAGTGGGAAAATTTGGAATAAAACACACAAAAGATTTTACCTAACCCAAATAGTGCCCTCCTATTGTGTCTGCCATACCTAAAATTCCTCCCCCACATTAATGTGGATCGGGTCTCCTAGTGGTACTTACCCCTATCCAGCTTACATATGCAAATTTCCCATGCGCCTGTTACAATTCGCTGAAAAGACTTGATTATGCACGCTGCTCCCTGACCCACCACAATGCAATGCGAAGCGGAGAAGTTCCCCTGAGCCAAAGTGGGGAAGACAAGCGGGAATGGCTGGACAGGGGTAAGTATCACTAGGAGACCCGATCGACACTAATGGGGGGAGGAGTCTCCTGTGTTCACATACCCCTGTCCAGCCTACATATGCAGAGTGGCACCGTACCCTGGAGGAGGGTTGGCAACTGGAGAGTAATTACAAGATAGGTAAGCGCTACTCAAGTGAACACTCACTATTCTAGAAAAAAGGAATAGCATCTACGGTGAGAAATTCTTTGCTTGGTGAGGGACAGCGCTGGATGCTGTCCCAATTGCTGAGAGTAGGGTTGATGCGCCGTGAGTCGTCTCACTCCAAAGGACATCTTTCAGGTAGCACTCGGTGAAGGTGGAAGGAGATATCAAACAAGCCGCCTGGCAAATGTCTGTCAAGGAGACACCTCTGAAGAATGACCAGGACGCAGAGGCGGCCTGAACATCATGGGCTCTGATATGAGATCGAGTCGTCTCGTCATGTCGAGTTGGCAAGTCTTGATTTGCAAAGATGATGGCCGAGACCGTCGAACAAGCTATGGTGTCTTTCGCCTGGGACGAATCTCACGGTGACGCTTGGTCCTCGCGAGATGCCATTTGCGGGTACGAACCGGACACCATTTCTTGTCGGAGCTATCTGCCGAAAGGGAGATTATGTCAGGGACAAAAATGTCCGGAGGCCGAAAACATCAGGAATTCGATGAATGGAATAAGACGAACTCTGTGTGGCTCCCAGCGTATCTGACCTTCAGCAGTTGACAGGGCATGCAGTTCACTGCCACGTCTAGAGGTAACGACCACCAGGAGGAATGCCAGCTTGATGCTAAGATGGAGATCAGATGCATCGGACAGCGGTTCAAAGGGGGGACCAGCGAGAACACGCAAGAGGTTGCCAAGGTCCCAAGAACGAACAAGGCCTTTGACATAAGGTGCTCGACAAACATTCCCCGAAGTAGATAGTGGATGGCTGTGTTATCAGAAATTGTTGATCAATTGTTGAACAGCTGCCAGGGCCGACTGGTAGTTGCGGATAGTAGCAGTCTGGAAGCCTGAATGAAAGAGATGCATGAAAAAGGCCTAAACTGAGCTTACAGAAGCTTTGGTTGGAGAAACATCGTGGTCATCACACCATCTAGCAGAATGTTGTATGCGACTATTGTGAATTTTGCATGTGGAGAGTCGTCAGCCCTGTGCCGCACCCTCAATCCTGGTAGTGGTCATCAAAGATCAAAGGATTCGCGGTACTTCAGTCCACCTGATCTACAGAGGCTGTTTTGATCTAGGAGTCACGTAACTCCGGTTCTCTCTAGTCAAGGAGGGTATCGATCAGCTTTCTTGGTACTCCGGTCCACCTGATCGTGACAATCCAGGCCTGCAGTGCCTCAGCCCAAGCCTAATCGTGTCTCTCCTCGTCGAGGCCGCTAATCAGAAAATGCAAAACCACACCACCATACCACAGGGGAGCGGGGTGGCTCCCTAAGCCGACTTACATTACAGGGTAAATTATGCATACATGTATGCAAATCTACATGAGTGTGATTTGGTTGCAATGCTCAAAATGTCTAATCTGAGTCACAATGAAAACACGTAACTTTGTGTCTGTAACAATGCTACAAGTTCTTTGACATGGGGGTTAAGCAGAGTGGTTCATCAGAGTGAATGGAGTGCATAACTGCATAGACTGGTAAGTGCTGCATAAGCCTGCTGACAGCCCAGAAAAAACACACTCCACTGGACTGCTGAAAATATGTTGCACTAAAACCTGAAAATGAATACATAAAAGTGGAAAATACCTATGCATAAAGAGGAATTTAGTTCTGTGAACTTAACCAGTTGCTGAAGTATTTTGATCGTTTCATGTTTTCAGAGTGTCAAAGTGTGGAATGTGCTTGGAGTTGTCATGGGGGTCACAGGCTTCTGTCCATTTCATGTCATTTTTCGCTATTTTAGCTATGGGGAAACAGTGTGCTATTCATGCTTTGTTGAGTCTCGTGTACTTCCGCCACAGTGCATTCACAATGCAATTTGCTTCATCCTTTGGGCCACGGGAAAGCAGAGCTTTAGCACTATGACTCCATGTACCTTCATATTGCATTCATGTATTTTTGAAGGAAAATCCAAACAATTTACATGACCTGTGCATGTGATCATGAAAGAAGGACACAGAAGGAGTTTGAACTGCATGGGCTATAACATCTGGCCGATTACCACTTTCTGGCATGCCCGGTATGTCCATAGGCAGAGCACAGTGCACGCCTGCTACCTACCACCTGTTTTGCAACCATATGCCCCCTTTGTACCCGATGATCGTCGCCGCAATTTTTCGTAGGTAATCTGCATCCCTAAAACGTTGTGTACTGCAGTATAGGAAGCTGAATATACATGCCATCGTCTGTGCTTGATATGAACAGACAACATCATCAAATGTAGTGTTTGTGCAGTTGCTTTTATTAGGCTGCATACCCGCAGTGTTCATGTGCAGTTGATGCCCTTATCGAACGCTTTTAGGAATAAATAGCCAAGCTGTTTGTAAGATTTTGTGTTTTGTTTAAATCATTTTTATTATGGCATTTGTACAAAGGCGTATTTTATGACATTTCACGATCACTCCTTGTGATGAAATAGTGTATTTTGTTGCTAATGAACTAAGCTTTCTAGTAGTAGTGAACATTTTGTTGGCCAGTATAGCCAAATTCGTTCCAAGTCTTTGGCACTTATGTATATTGGATGGAAGAGACTAGAATTACAAACTTTGCATGGATAATGAAACAGTGTGTCAAAATTTAACAAGTTTATTTATGATGGCAAAAGTAGGTCTAATATCGGGAATTTTTTTTTAGTTTGTATTTAATTGCAAGCAAAAAACTACAAGTGTTGCCAGGGTATTACTGGCCCCACTTGTCCAGCTAAGATGCAGGCAGCAATAAGGCATTTTTGGAATGCTTTCTATTATTCGTCAGACTCGGCGGCGACCATCACTGGATGCTTTGAAGTGCCTGAGTTACAACTCCTTCTGTGTCCTTCCTCCATGGTCAGATGTAGCAGCTGGTACTGCAAATTATTTCAAGATGTAATTTGTGTCTGGGATGTCTTTTGCATCCTTTGCCTTTTCACTTTTAATAGTGACTGATACCACAAGCCTCTGCTGATGAGTGTCTCATCTGCGAGGTCACTAAATAACCAATCGGGTGTAATACTGTTTGTGGCGATTTAAAATTTAACCAACAGCAGCCTAGGCTGACAAGGAACTAGGTCTTGGTCTGAGTGCTGGCAAAATTTGGTAGGGTTATTAGTACCCCTACCAAAACCTTCTAATGATGTCAACAGTCCACGCAGTTTTCTGAGACTTGGTCTTTTATATAAATTATTTAATCACTGGTGCCTTTAAAATTTTATTTGTAATGAATATTGGAGTTTCTCTGCATGCTGACAGTGATTTGTACGTGGGCCCTTGAATCGTGAGGGGAGAAATTCACCTCATTCCAAAAGGAGTAAATTGAAAACTTGGTTCCTGCCAATTGGAGCTGAGTGTAAGTTACACTCTAAAAATAAGGTGATGAAGTCATTATGTCACTCCTACCTTCTTATAATGCCTCAATCAGTGCCTGTGGCCAGTTTAAACCTAATCGGACATATGGCTCTGTAAATATAGGCTTTCAAAGATTAAACTTTGAGGGCATGTCATCATGTCATGCTTCGAGAAATAAGGTCCCCATTTGGTCTTCAACTGGGTAAAATTTTATTAGGATATAAACCTTTCAAGTCAAAAGTCCATGTGAGATAAACACGCACAAAGTAAATGTGTTTTCATGGAGAACTTGCAGACGAAAAAAATCTTTGCCAGAAAATACTTTTTGCAAGTATGCAGAAAAGCCCCCATAAGGTGTATTTGTTGATGTCCAGTTGTTGAACTGTTTGTTCATTACCTTAGTATCCTTTTTCCTGATGCTTGCACACTCCCGGGTTCCCAATTTCTCTTGTGAATTTCATGGACAGCATCCATTATTTTATGCCGCCATCCGTACTTGTCTATGCCAATCTGTAAAACAAATGACAAACCAGAAAAATCAGGTGGTTTTAACAGATGGGTGTGGGTATCAAACTTGTTGATGTAGTTGATCTTACGCTCTTATTCAGTGCTTTCACAGAAGGGGGGATCTGAAAATATTTGCCAAGGGCAATTTGTCTGTCATTCCCAAAATTACACATTACAGATATTCCCCATACATGTCCTCTCTCTCACAAAGTGAGGGCATGCCAACCCAGACTGACCAAATCCAACCCAACCTCAACAGACAGCCAGACCTGGACCTGTACTGAACCAGGATTGCATGGGAGACTGAAAATAAAACAAATAAATATTCAATGTAAAAACAAAGATAAGCAGAGACAAGAAGAGCTCCAATGTCCATGTCTAATGAAAGCCATAAATTCCCATTACAAAATGCTTCACTCAAGAAAAAGTTAAACCAGAAGTTAAGTCTCCATGCCCTTCATTTCTGTTGTCTTCCATCTCAATTGTGCTCAAATTCTGCCAGTTTGGGTCAGCATGAATCACTCCCATCACCAATTTTGTTACATATTTAAGATAATGTTGCTCAATGATGCATGACCCCAGGATTGCAACTAAGGTATTATAGAAATGCAATTAACTTCTGCATTATGATAATAAAATATTTTTGCTAGCAAATGAATAGTTTGGCTGCATTTTTTTTCAAAATAAGGACTACTTTTTCTGTATATTAGTTTATAATATACATGTAAAATGACAATATTCTTGTGTTCAATGTGTCAAATAAAATTCTACTGGCCATGTTCTCTCCAAACATCTTATTTATTCAAACAAGAAATTAGTTGAAATTCTATGTAAAGATTCCCAAAAAAATACTTTTTGGGTCCCCCCAAAAACTGATTTAGGTTAACTAATAAATGTTTTCATTTATTAAGGACAAATGTGTCCATCAATCAATTACACTTTTTCCTTTGTGAAACCACTTTGTGAAAATAAAATTTATATTCAGATTGTGAAAGACAAACTTCTGAAACCAAAACCCTCAAATATTCCCAAGCAAGAAAAAAGGGACAAAAAGGCTGTAGTTGAAAGTACAAATGGATGAGATGGACTGCAAAGGCGAAGTAAAAAAAGACCCAAGAGAGACCACTACTTCTCTGTATTACCCATTTCACAGCACCAGCTAATTTGTGACAAGAATCTGGCAGATTTTTGCTAACCTAAATTTTGAAATCTGGTAATTAACTTGATCAACCTACCCATTACATGTCATCGACACATGAAACTGGAACGATGGCAGAATTTGTATTATATGGAAATACATTTCAGGGCTACAAATTTACTCTGTAACCAACCGAAATTAAAAGAAGCTGTAAAGTTTTATTGGCATAGTGTTTTATTGTCCACAGAGTTCGGCAAATCTGGGTTGGCAAACTTGATAGCCGAAACTGTCCATCTGGCTATAGTGTCTCTGGTCGCAGCTCGGTGAGGTTTTATTGTAGTGATGAAAAGCTACAAAGTTGTTCCTCTTTTTCTAGTTTTGGCTAAGTACCATTTAAGAGTTCACACTGGGCACCATGTTTTGTCGTCGGGAGTCCCAGTTTGTTTGGTAATGTCTGGTACAAAAATGTCAGGAGGAAGGAAGGAAACTGACTGATTCTTGGTGAGAAACCCAATCATTGGGTGAGACGAATACCATGAGGTTCCCATCGGATGTGGCTGAGATGGACAATACCTTCAGTTCACTGCTGCAGCGTGAGGTATTAACTGCCAGCAAGAATGCCAGTTTCACCGATAAGTTGATCAACGATGCGTCGCTGAGAGGATCAAAGGGGGAAACCAGCAAGCAGTTGGAGAACAGCTGACAAGTCTCATGAAGGGATTAGTCCCTTCGTTGAAAGACACTCAAGAAACATTCCCCAGAGTAGATATTCAAGAGCAGTATCGTCGGATGCAGTCAAGCCATCTGGGAAGACATCGTGAACAGCCTCAATGGCTGACCGATAGTTACAGGTAGTTGAAACCTGGAGATCTGATTTGAACAGGTGCATGAATAGGTCAGCTATAGAAGTCACAGAAAGTTTGGTTGGAGCAAGACCTTGCTCTGAACACCACAAAGTATAATGTTGTAATCTAGAGTCGTAGATACTGTGTGTAAACTGGTAAACTTAGAAGCCATTTTGGCAGCCTCATCAGAAAGTCCTGCTGATGAAGGACTGTTCGATAATAGCCAACAAGTCAGGTGAAGTGATGTTGGATGAGGGTGAAGGATCACCGGTACCCGGATGAGAAGTCTGGTCACACGCGGTAACCATGGCTGATGTGGCCAGAAGGGGGCGATGAGAAGGACACGACAGCGTTCCTGTTCGATCTTGGAGAGAACTGCTAGGGATATTGGAGGGAAAGCGTAGGCCAACATCCCTTTCCAGTTGATTTGACGAGCATTCATTGCCCAGGCTTGTGGGTGGTAAAATCTGGTGCAGAACACTGGCAGTTGGGCATTCTCTGCTGAGGCAAAAAGATTGATGTTTGGTTTCTCTACTTCGGCAGAGATCTGTTCAACGATACTGGTGTGCAGAGTCCACTCTATGGGATGTACCTTTCCCCGAGAGAGACATCTGCTATGGATTTGTCAGCACCAGGAATGTGGGTCGTCTGGAGGTTGATGCCATAATCCTGGGCCCAAAAGAATATCTGTCTCATCAGGAAGCATAGGCGGGGACAATGCGTGCCTCCCTGGTGATTGATGTACGACACCACTGTGGAGTTGTCCGAGCAAATGAGGACTCATTTGCCTATGATGCTCAGGCAGAAAGCTTTCAGTGCGTTGAATATGGCCTGAAGTTCCAGTATATTGATGTGACTCCCTTGGAGCTGCCATGTTCCCGATGCTTGAAGCAGTGGTAGGGAGGCTCCCCTGCCCAGATGAGAAGCGTCCAAAGTTATAGTTATTTCCGGGTTCACGTTGGGGAAGGGAACTCCGAGAGAGAGGTGTCTCTTCACTAACCACCACTGGAGATGGGGGCAAATGAAGTCCGATATGGGGACCTGGAGATTGATTGAGTCCCATTTTGGCCTGTAGAGAGCTAAAAGATGAAGTTGTAGTGGACGCATGTAAAGCCTGCAGAGGGGGATGAGGTCCACCATGCTGGCCATCAAGCCGAGGAGACGGAGCCAGGCACAGGCCGCAGCAGACTGCTCAGTAGAGAAGACTTTCACGCAGTCGAGAAGATTGTTGATGCGTTGGGTCGTTGATGAGATTATGCCTTGTTTCATTTTTTTTTCATTAAATGATTTATTCTCTTAAAATGAGATAAGGCAATCAGAGATTGAATAGCATCAAGTCAGCACAAAAAGTTCCATTAAGCGTTACTTAAAATAGATCCAGTTAAAAATACATATAACATATAAAATTATACATAATGGACATCATCCCTCAAAAGCCTATTTATGAAACCCCAACAAGGCTGTGTATGCCATATCAGTACTCTCTATGATATGCAAACCTCAGACCTCCTCTAATTATCATCTTCCATTAAGATACTAAAATCCTCTTTGCTCTATCAAGAAAACATAGCGTGACGAAACAGGGGTAGGCATGAATGCCAGTCTAAGTCATGAATTATTAAGCATTGCGTTGACCAATCAGTGTTGCGTAAAGCACTAGGTCTGGGCGCTTGCGGCGTGCTTAGAGCCCGCACAATCAGTTAGTTGGTTTCGCTGCTGGGTTGCAGAGTGGCAGGATCGTGGAGGACGCTGTCTACCGTTCTGTGCTGTGCGAGGTATAGCGTGGACGCTGCACCAGGGGCGCTGCGTGTAGTGACTATAACTGGTAGGTGTAGTAGCGAACCGTATTGGGTCTAGATTACTTTAGTGATAGAGCTGAGCATTGTGAACCTAGGCTGGGAGCTAGTGGTCTTTGCCGTTGGATTGCTTGTCGTCTGTAAGCACTGATAGTGGGGTGACGGCTGGAATGCAATCTTGTCATTGTGCTAACTAGCATTGATGTTTACTTGATGTATTCAGATCGCTGTGAGGGTAATTTCCCTTTCGTTAGATCGACCCTGTTTTGCATGACACTCTGTGTTATTTGTGTGAGGGCTATCTATTTAGTGAGGTAACCCTTGGGTTGTATACTAGCTGTGTTTAAGTTAGTCGGGTGGTTAGTTAACCATGTGAGGCATATTGTATTGCCTTATGAGGTGTATTGTGTACATAAACCTTGTGTGATTTATATACCTTATTGATTTTTATTGCAATAAATCAAATACTTGATTATTGTAATTGGAAATCCTGTGTCACTGTGAGGTTCATTTAGGTTTCCCTGTGTTTCATTACTGTATCACCAGATAAATCCAGTCTTTCCTAATTGGTGGTAAACTTCCACCCAACGAACTGCCCCTAGGCTTAGTCCGCCGTTCGTTAACTGATATCCCCCTTGAGTCAGGGTAGCCGCTCATCCTTGCTCGAGGTTAATAAATATATTTGTGGGGTTAGGCCAGGTCAATTCCATCCCTGATCCGGCCGGTTACTGGGTCCACCACAAGAGGTGTCAGTTGCATTCGCCACAATAGTTTTTATGAGGTTAAATTAAGTTAAAAATAAATGGTTCACAATAAACAAAAACCAACAATGACCACAGACAGGACCCCAGCAATACGTGTAGACGATGACAAGGACAGCAGAGCAGGGACGTCAATAACATCAGTACTAATTCAAGTCCATTTTACCACTTCAAAATAAATAATGGCCACAACCTGAGGAAACTGTAAGAACCACAAATTAATTAAAAGATTTGAGAACAGATCAGAGACTGACAACTCACAAAATTTGTCTAATAACAATAAAAAGAATACTAGGTGAAGATTGTTTAAAGGTTACAAGATCCATGCACCTTGAACAAACTAGTCATCACAACTTAAAACAAAGAACAAAGAACAAGTTAAAAGATAGTTTAAGAACATATCAGAGACCAGTCATCAACTTATAAAGTGGAATCAATTACAGTTAGAGTCAGTGAGGTAGGG